GTCAAAAATCTATTGCTACATACTAACAGCTAACAACTATACATTGAACAAAAGTCAGATAAATATTTACCACTAATAACAATTTAAAATTAGAAATCTTTCCAAAAAAAAACATGAAAAAAGTTTTTTTTTGTTTTTGAGCAAAAAACAAAGTCAAATATTGAAATTTTAGGTAACATTTTTGTTTTTCTGTAACTCGTCAATAACTGAAATACGAAATAACAAAATAGCATTTATTAATGTTGTAAAAATTCTTAATTGTCTTCAATTTAATTCTAAAAAACTTGACTAAGACGTCAATAAAAATCATAAAAATTTGAGCATGAAACGTTGTTGTCATCATCACTGTCGCTTCTCGTCATATATTTTTACTGATACTGTTTTTTTGTTTTTTTTTGTTTTGCTTTTCAACAGTATTGATTGTACAAAAAATTTCTGTATTTAAATATTTTGAATTGCTTTGATTGTTATCAAAACGAATAGTTTAAGCTTATTTTTCAGCAACAAATCTAGAAAATGCTTAATCTGCTGATCGTTCATTGTTGTCACCGTCTGCAGTCAGTTTTACAGTAATTTATTTTTCAATTTTTTCTATAGTCAAATACATCAGTTAAAAGCTATCTTTTGGGTACCATCAAAGTGATCGTTAATTTTAATTATAAATTACTGAAATGTTAAATGTTGAAAGATTGCTGAAAAAGAGGAAAGTAACAAAGTTTTGGGTGGAGACGACTGTATTGAAGACAAATCTTATAAATGTTTATCACTGTGCTGTAAATATTATTGAACAAAAAGCAGTCTGCAGTAAATTTATATGCCAAAAAGAGAAAAAAATAGAAGCATCGTAAAAAAGGTAATAAATAGATGAAAATAGCAAAAAAAGTTTTAAATTTTCTTCTATATTTTAGCTTCTTTTTAGTTTGTAACAATTAGTTTACATTTACAAAATTCTGGAAATCAGTAAGTTCAGAAAAGATTCTGATCATAAACACTGCAGTTTTTCGCAGAAAGAATTTTTTCTTTTTTCATATTTTTTTTAAAAAGAAAAAAAAAAAGCAAAAAAATTGCAAATACGACCAGAAAAAAATTTGACAAAAAAAAGTGAGAAAAAAAGAAGAAAATGTTTTAAAATTATCCAATTTTAATCTGCAGCTTTTATGCAATTAGTTTTGGTGAAAAAGCTGTAAGAAGAAGCTGTTATAAAAACTGTTGATAATAATAAAAAATAAATTAATAAACAGCATTATCGTTATGAAAAAAAAATTTTAGGCTTGAGTTAATCACTGATAATTTTCGATTACAAAGACTTAAATTGTACACTAATCTGCAATCAGGAGAACAAACAGGAAAGACGATTTTGTAGTAACGTAAATAAAATAATCCGCATCTTTGTCTCTAAAAAGAACTAGTATTAGATGGTTTTCTTTATAGAATTTTTAGATTTGAAGGCATCAGATTTAGGCTAACAAACGTTAGATAATTTCAAGAAAAACTGCATACATTGAAAACCTTGCTATTCTTTCAACAATATGTCAATGTTTTTAAAAAAAATGACACTATAAACTGTATCTCTTCATCAGAAAAAACACTTTTCAACAGCTCTATTCTTTTAGCAAAACTTGATAACTGTTTTTCCAAAAGGTTGAAGAAAAGAATCTAAGAAATAGAAATAGAAATTGAAAAATAAAAAAAAGAAATATGCTTCTTTTTGTGGTGACGGCTAACAAAAAACCTCAACAGTTAATGAACACAAAAGTTTCACTTGTTTGAGCTCCATTTTTCAGAACGGTTTTAAACATCTTCACACTTATGAAAAAACTGTTTAACACCTGGTATAGTTAGGTTTATGATAAGGTTAAATAGATCTAGAGTAATTTATATAAGAAATTAATTAATGTAAAATAAACTTATTTCATTATCAGTTTCAACAATTTATTTCAGCTTTTCTAATCATCAAAACCGTTGCTTAGATTCATTGTATAATTGTAGTTTTTAAAAGTAATACTAATATTTTAGAGTAATTTTCAATTAAAAGCAATTAAAAAAAAAAATGTGTAAATGAAGGTTTAACACAGGAAATTTTTAAAAGCTGTACAAAATTGAAATGTTTACTTATCGGTAAAACAGAGCTGTTCGTACGTTAGCAGTTTAAATAAATTGAAAAATGACCAAAATAGCAAATAAACTAAAACAGTAAGACTGAGCTTGACAAAGCGAATATGGTCTAGTTTGCAATAAGCATTTAACTGTTTGAAGACCTTTCTTGCCTCGAATTCTATTACTTTATTTTATGGCCAAATACCTTCTCCGCTGATAAAGATTTCTACAGCCACACCTAATTAGGGTTGTATAATATATCAGACCGTAGAACAAACACGATAAAGCAAAAAAAAAAAAAAAAGAGATGCTGGCATACTGTTCAGTATATATCTGTAAGAACAATTTATAGCAGTTTAACATTCTTGTGATATCAAAATAAAGTTTTCAATTTTTTTTCATTATGACAAAATGTGCAATTTTTGTCAACTTTTCTGCTTTTTTTTTTTTCTTTGAATTTAATATTTGTGGTGAATCAACAACAAAACATCAGAGGTTTTGATGATGTTTTAATACAAACTTTACTTCATTAACGATATGCAATAAAAAAAAAAGACTTTAAAGAGTGTTATCAGCAGTTTTACAGCTTACATCAAAGTAACATGGTTTTTTTTCTAATTTTTATTTGAAACATACTAAGATGATTGTTGTTTAATTCAATACCTTTTTAAGACTCAAATTAATTTATATTGTTCAGTCTACCTCACTGATTGTAACAGTTTTGCATTCAATTTTCCACTTACTATTGTCTATGCATCAAAGCTGTATCGAAGCTAAAATAAAACAACTTGATCTTTACTGTTAACACCAAAAAAAGTAGTACTGGTATTTCTGAAGTGCGGGGTATGTACAATAAAAAATTTGCATCATAACGTCTTGTCGAAATGGTGGAAGTGTAGATGAAAGTTCTGTTCAACGGCTTCAGCAGTATGTTGTCAAACTCAGAAAACAACCAAGCGTCAAAAAAAAAAAAGATTGAAAACTATGAATTTATTGGTTATTCAGTACTTGAGAAGCTGATTTCTGACTTCTAAACGGCTGTAAATACTGATAACCAACAAAAAAAAAAAAAAAAAAAAAAAAAAAA